CCATGCAGATGGCTATGTGGAGCACAGCAGCCTTGAGCATAGTAATGTGATGCTGATGCAGGCATACACATTCTCTTACCTGTAAAATACAAAAGGCCAAAAGCAGTACCAAAATTTAAATCTCTTTGAATTCCTCGGCAATATATTTTAAAAAAAAATATAGGAAAAATATTCAAAATATAGGAGAATATAGGAAAAATAGGAGGTTTTTTAAAATATAGGATTCCGACCCAAAATATAGGAGTTTTATAGGAATATAGGAATTGGTTGACAGCCTGCCCCCTCCACCCCCCCAACGTTGCAGGGCCAACTTTAACCCAAGGGCTTTTATTTGCACAAACTTGGTAGACACCCATAAGAAGATGTTTCATGCTAAACATCTAAGCTCTACATGTAGCTCATTGGGCTTTTTAAAAGAAGATTTTTTTTAAGTTTTTACTATACACATATAGTTAAAAACAATGACACCCCTGGAGCCGGGCCAGTTTGACCCCAGGGCTTTTATTTGAACAAACTTTGTAGACACTAACTAGAAGATGTTTTATGCTTAATATCTAAACTCTAGCTATTTGGGTTTTTTCAAAGAAGATTTCAAGTTTTTGCTATACACATATAAGGAAAAGCAATGATCCCCGGAGCGGGGCCAATTTTGACCCCAGGTCTTTTATTTGAACAAACTTTGTAGACACTCACTGAAAGGTGTTTTATGCTTAATATCTTAACTCTAGCTATTTGGGTTTTTTCAAAGAAGATTTCTTAAGTTTTTGCTTTACACATATAAGGAAAATCAATGACCCCGGGGCGGTGCCAATTTTGACCCCAGGGCTTTTATTTGAACAAACTTTGTAGACACCTTTTAGAACATGTTTGATGCTAAATATCTTAGCCATAGCTCTTTGAGTTCTTTAAAAGAAGATTTTTTAAGTTTTTACTAATTATGCATATAGGGAAAATCTATGACCCCCTGGGGCAGGGCCAATTTTGACCCCAGGGCTTTTATTTGAACAAACTTGGTAGACACTCATTAGAACATGTTTCATGCTAAATATCTTAGCTCTAACTCTTTGGGTTCTTTAAAAGAAGATTTTTTAAAGTTTTTACTATATGCATATAGGGAAAATCAATGACCCCCTGGGGCGGGGCCAATTTTGACCCCAGGGCTTTTATTTGAACAAACATGGTAGACACCTATTAGAACATGTTTGATGCTCAATATCTTAGCCATAGCTCTTTGAGTTCTTTAAAAGAAGATTTTTTAAGTTTTTACTATATGCATATAGGGAAAATCAATGACCCCCCGGGGCGGGGCCAATTTTGACCCCAGGGCTTTTATTTGAACAAACTTGGTAGACACCCATTAGAACATGTTTCATGCTAAATATCTTAGCTCTAGCTCTTTGGGTTCTTTAAAAGAAGATTTTTTAAGTTTTTACTATATGCATATAGGGAAAATCAATTACATCCTGGGGCGGGGCCAATTTTGACCCCAGGGCTTTTATTTGAACAAACTTGGTAGACACTCACTAGAAGATGTTTCATGCCAAATATCTAAGCTCTAGCTCTTATGGTATTTTAAAAGAAGATATTTAAAGTTTTTTCTTTCGGTTGCCATGGCAACCAGAGTTCTGCATGGAATTAAATTCTTTGAACAATTTTTAAAGGTGACCACCAAAGGAACATTCCTGTGAAGTTTGGATGAAATTGGCTTAGTGGTTTATGAGGAGATGTCATTTAAAGTAAAAGTTTACGGACGGACGACGGACGGACGACGGACGAAAAGCGATCACAAAAGCTCACCCTGTCACTTTGTGACAGGTGAGCTAAAAACACGGATGGGTGCGGAACAAAACACGCTTATAAGCGTCCCCGTTAATTAGCGTGTTTTTTCTCCGCGCCCCCGCCAATTTAACTTGTTGATTTTCGACTTTTCACTTGGTGTGGTCGCGGGACGAAAACACGCTTATTAGCAAGAGCGCACGGCGTAGTTTTATTTACAGTAAAGACTGTCTTAGCGACCCCCTGTATCTAGCGACGTTCTGTCTTTAGTGACCATAGTTAAGTGCACCGAACAGTATTTACTATATAAATGGTCTGTATGTAGCGACTTCCTGTCTAGTCCGTACAACGACCATGATTTAGTCACCCGTTACGGTATTTGAGCCGTGAACAGCGACTTTTGCAAGGGGAGCAAGGCTTGAACTAGGTGACGACTTTGGCGAAGAAGTCGCCTTCGGATCAGCGACTTTGCCTAAAACAAACTTCAAAGAGATTTTGAAGTCGCCCGATTTTTATAATTTTCCGTCATACTTATTTACTCCGCTAGGTATGTTAATAATTTGTTTACCTCTCAATTACAACCAATTACCGTTAATCCGCTAATTAAGAACGCGTGTCAACATCAACAAAGTTCAATATACACGCCGCAAGGCAAGAGTTCACTATGTTTATCTTTCTCATTACGTATTCATGTGATTGACGAATCAGAACGCGCGTTGTATCTACGGCAGTTTGCATTAACCAATTGGCGACACAGCAATACACTGTGGCTGTTTGTTGACAATTACACAAAATGGCGACAGATTAAATCAATTTTCGCCGATAGAATGATTAAAGACACCTGCATATACATAATTGCTGCGGTGTAAAGATAAACAATGCCAGACGTCTTAAAGGTGTGGTTATGTTTGAAACCTCGATTGTTAATTTTTTTCGGAGCATTTATCTGTAGAAATTATGTGAAGATTCGTATCTAATGTTTTATTTATACATTGAACTCCGTAAAGTAAACAGGCTGATTATACAAAATTAAATGTCTCTACAGTAACATCTCATTAGTAAAATTGAAATTAAACATTTTTTACAAACAAATTTATCAATATAAATTACATTTTAATGAATATGTAACTTTTAAATACTAATGTTATGGTGTAGTTTATAATCTTAACCAATTATACATGCAATTTTAATACTCTCTTGTTTTTTATAAATGATATTTGATATGTTTAATATCAATAAAAATATAATTAAACCCTTAGTATGGTACTATCCTGCTTTTCAACAAAATATTGGTATTATATGTTCATATATCCGAATTATGTACAGACTGTCCACAGTGACTCCCTGTCTATAATGACCTTTTTTCTTTTCTCCCATCGAAGGTCACTGTAAACAGTCTTTACTGTATTAAACTTCGCCCCTCGCCCACACAAATAAGCGTGTTTTCATTCCGCGACCCTGCCGTTATATTTCTTAAATCTTGCCACGCGGCCCCGCAAAATAGAAAAGTCTAGAATTAACAAGTTAAAATGACGGTGGCGCATAGTGAAAACATGCTTATAAGCGGGGGCGAAGATTAATAGATAAAACTTTGCCCCGCGGGGCGAGATATAAAAATACCATGGGGTCGTGGAGCGAAAAACACGCTTATTAGCGTCCCCGCTAATAAGCGTGTTTTCGCTCCGCGCCCCCGCTAATTTTACTTGTTAATTATTGACTTTTCGCTTGGTGGGGTCGCAGGACAAAAATACGCTAATAAGCACAGGGGTGCGTGGCGAAGTTTGATTTATCAAACTTCACCCCAGCCTCGCTAATAAGCGTGTTTAAGCTCCGCAGTTCCGCTGTTTTAACATGTTTGTTCTCGATTTTTCGCTTGGCCGGGTCGCGGACGAAAACATGCTAATTAGCGGGGTGCGCGGCGAAGTTTTATTTAGATTAAACTTCTCCCCGCACCCCCGCTAATATGCGTGTTTTCGTCCCGCGACCCTGCAGTTTTATTTCTTAAATCTCGCTCCGCGTCCCCGCGGGGCGAATTTTTTTTTAATAAACTTCGCTCTGCGCCCTTGCTTATTAACGTGTTTTTCCTCCACGCCCCGCCATTTTAACTTGTAAATTTTCGACTTTTCGCTTGGCGAGGTCGCGAGGCGAAAAACACGAATGGCACAAATCAGCCGCCATACTTATCTACTATAATTCATGCAAGAGGAACTATTCAATTATCTTCAGTTAAGTTATAAAAAATGGATCAAAGACAGAAAAGGCCGGGTTTCATTTGTATACCAAATATAATGAGGCTGTGGTGTTATAAAAAATGTTTACCATTGACCATAAATGTGAAAAATTTAACTAAGTCGGTAAACAGGAAGTGGATGAGCGACAGACCTGAAATCAAATCCAACAGTATAGGACCATGAGGCAATGCTGTATGCTAAATATCAAGAAGCTGTGATAAGTAGTTGCTGAGAACACTGTTACGAAAATTTCCTACCATTGACCATTAATGTTGAAAACTTAACGAAGTAGGTAAATAGGAAATGAATGATCGACAGATCTGAAAATAGATCATACAGTATGGGACCACTAGATAATGTTGTATGCCAAATATCAAAAGGCTGTGATAAGTAGTTGCTGAGAAAACTGTTATGAAAATTTCCTATCATCATGATCATTGACCATTAATGTTGATAATTTAACTAAGTCGATAAACCGGAAGTGGATGAGCGACAGACCTGAAATCGAATCCCACGGTATGGGACTACGTGTCAATGCTGTATGCCAAATATCAAGAGGCTGTAATAAGCAGTTGCTGAGAAAACTGTTACGAAAATTTCCTACCAGTGACCATTAATGTTGAAAATTTAACTTAGTTGATAAACCTGGAAGTGGAATAGCGACAGACTGAAATCGGATCCCACGGGTATGGGCCACCAGTGTCAATGCTTGTTATGCCATATCAAAGGCTGTGATAAGTAGTTGCTGAGAAAACTGTTACGAAAGTTTTTCCCCGCCGCCCGACATTCACCATACTATAACCCGGGTTTGCACCAGTGCAACCCGGCCAAAATGCATGCATTTCCTCTTATTTGCGCAATATAACTAATTGTCAGATCGAAGCATTATTCACGGGTTGATATTGTGCTACTACGCAATATATATAACAATACTTGTTACAATATTTTTCATATTTGTGCTTTTGAATGAAACAGACTGAAAGATTTGCTTACCTCTTAATTTGTTCACGCGTACGTCTACAGTTTTTAATACCTTTTCAGCTGGTGCCCCTGTAAGATGAGATTATTGACTTGTAATAATTGTAAATAACAAAAACATTACATAGGCAAGAAACAATTTTAAATTACATTAATAATAAACATTTAAATGAAAGTTAAAATAGTATACCGTGTATTTGTTTCGTTTAGTAGTTCACGTAGTTATAAAGAAAAGAAAGATTTTTTCATTGAAAAAGTGTGAAGCGATGCGTATTGCATGAGAAAAATTGTAAAATGCACTGAAAACTTTTCACGGTCCGTAAGTACTAGCTTGGTGATTATATGAGTTCTGTAGGTTAATCATTATAAACAATAAAATAATTGTTGTTAAAAGCTGCTGTCTTCAATGTAATTTCTTTATTGAAAAAAGCATTAGGTTCCCTTTCTCCAAACACGTTTGGTGAAAATCAAAGACGCTTAGGAAAATGTTAATCATAAAACATCATTACAAGAGCCACCGCTAGGCGGGGACAACGCTCGACTTTTAAATAATTTGTAATAAAAGTAGCAAATGTAAACAAAATAGTATTTTGAATCCCATACAAAATACTTATTCACTATAACCGTACTAATTGCCAAAAAAGAAAGAGAATAAAAAGAAGGTTCACTTAATTGGCCAACGAATAACTCTTTTGAAACTATAAAAGAAAATTTAAAGAACATCCGAAAAAAAATATCTTTGGAGAAATGAAGTACAATGGGCTTTAAGGTAACATTTGTTAGAAAAACATCGAATTTAATGATAAAATTATAATTACTTCTTTTTAAGTCAACAACAGCAAACATAGACTCTAGCATGAAGTGTTTGATGTTAATTTTGGAGTAAAATCTTTTATTAATTGTATTGCAAATATTTAATGAAAAGATGACAATTAAGATACTAGTACCTTAAAAGTGTTTGTACATGTTTAAATACAGAAATAAAACCAAATACTTATTAATACTTATTAATCAAATTTCCTATTGTAACTAACACTATCTTTCCTTACATTGATCTTTTTTCGTAAATATCGCTTCTTAAGATTTTGTTCAGCATACAAAAACGACCCCACCCCCTTCCTAATATTTTTTTCAATTTAATCCCTGACACCAAGTGTCAGTAAAATAATTTTATTATGTGTCAGTTGGCTTTGATATTGTAACACAAACTTAATCAGTGTGAGAGTATATGTGTGTGTTCATGATTGTATATATGTCGGTCATTACACATGATTAATTAAACGAACCTAATTGACAATATGATTTCCATTTGTAAGAGTTAAAAGCAGATTTCATCATTATACGAGCAGGACAAAGCCCTACACACCTGTATTTGAAAAGCTTGGGTTCTCGGGTGTGGAAGATACTGGCTCTTCTTTCACAGCAACATTGACAAAAGCTTTATCTTGTAGCTGTATTATGTGATTCAGTAGAGCATGGGTGGTATAGTTCTCTACAACCTTTTCGAAGAAACTTGATTCACACGTAACTATCACATTCAGCAGTCCTTTGATTACAGCTGCATAGATTATATCAAACTTGTTGAGCCAAGCCTCGACAAAGGAAGTATTATACTTGTATTTTGCCTGCAAATTCGTCAATGTAATAACACTGACTTTCCCAAGTCTCACTTGTTCCGTCACTGGCCTCTGTAAAGAATATACGCATTTAACTTTGCTGTAAAGTGATGAAACCAATTTCAATGCAAATCTTGTGGATGTACCACCCTTTGAATCCTGTAACAACCAATCGCTTTATGGTTTCTTAAAACATTTTGGCCCGCGCTTGTTCCCATCAGCTCTTTATTGTCAGAACGCGTCTGTTTTGCAGTGATTGAATGAAACTACTCCGATTGAGCTAAAGAAATGAATATGAAATATATAAAGATTGAACAAATGAAAATAATTTTTCAACTTTTTCTTAGAACTGTTTTTTTTAATGAAAACATTATTAAACAAGATAGGTTACTAATGTTGTATACATCAAACATACCTATCATATATTCCAAAAACGCCCACCAACATCATGTCTCTTATCTGTTATGTTTCTGAAAAAGTACCAATTTGTTGAATGAAGTATTTCTTCGTTATTCATAATATTCCTTTTTTCCTGGCTTTGTTATTAAATGAAAGCAATGGCTCTTGTATACTGGGTGAAATGTACAATTTTTTGTGCTTTCTTAAAATTGCCCATAGAAATATTAGTAAGTTAAACACATGTAAGATATATTATTGTTTTAATTTCGGTAAATTATATGTGCTCATTAGTAACTATGACTCTCGCAGAGTAATACCTACATCTATAAAATTTAAACAAGTTTCAAAGCCTTATACAACCAACGTCTTTCATTAATCAAGATGCCATTTTCTTTTTCTTTTTCAAACTTAAAGAGTAAACGTCTTGTTTTTTACAAAACCAGGATGTGATTTTTCTTTCAATTCTTGTAATACTTTCTTTCTAAAGTGGTGAACCAAGGCGTAATGTAATGAGAAAAAAATGTCATTGCACTGAAAAGTTTTCACGGTCCGTAACTAACTAGCTTTGTGAATTACATGATAGGTCAGATCATAATAAACATAACTATAGAAAAATTTGTTACCAAGTTATTCGTCAAAATTTGCAAAAATCAGCTTAAGGTCAAGGTCATAAATGAGCGTCTAGGTAAATTTGAGTTTGATACATACATGAAGGATTTATATTAAACAATGTTGTGTCTTAATATTGAAGTCAATCCATTCATTAGAAAGCAAAATTATAAGCAGTTACAGCAAAAAAGAGAAAATTATAATAATTTGACCTTCAAGGTCAAGGTCAATTTATGAGTAAAGTTCAAGGTATTCTAGTTAACTTTAAAAGTCTATTCTAGAAGATTTTTGTGTTCAAGTTTGAAGAAATTTTTATTCAAAATAACAAAGTTATAGTCACTAATAGCAAAACTTCAGCGAAAATCAAAGCACAATTTTGAACATTTGACCTAGAAGGTCAAGATCATTTATTAATCAAGTTTTCAGCCTGGTCTACTTGAATGTATTGCACCAAGGGTTGTTGTGGCCAAGTATGAAGACATACACTAAGAACTTAAAAAGTTATGATCAAGATTAAAGTTTTCAGGGCGCCAACAGGAACGCCGACATAACTATAACAATACCTCATTTTTTCTTCAAAAAAACAAGTATAGCTAAAAAATTACGTTTTTCTAGATTCAGTGGGTTGTTTTCATCAGTTGGCATAAACAGCTCAATAACGTTTTTGAAGATCTCATTATCGTCATGATTCTCCTTCCATTGGTTGACCTTTAAGTTTTCGGAGACTATCACAATATCGATTCTAAATTCCTTGCTCGGCATCTTACAAGAATCTAGCATGCTTTGGAATATGCGATGTAAGCGGGACTCATTCTGTTGCTCTGCGAAAGGTTCGGTGAATAAAACAAGATCTGTTTCGTTTGGATCGATACTATTCCAGTCATCAACTGTTTTCATTTCAAAGCATCTATCTAAAGGGTATTTCTCCGACATAATAATCGCCGATAAAACTGTTGCTAGGTAACTGGTGTTTTCGGAGCCAGTGACTACTATACAATGGGTTTTTCTTGAAGGGATACGCAATATTTCACAGTTCTTACCGGTTGACAATTTAAAAATCTCTTGGTAATTCCCTTTCTATAGTTTTTGTCTAAAAATTAATACTAAAATAAATAATGCAAACGTATGCAAGTCATCATTTTTCAAAAATAAAATAATAAAGAATAAACAATAAACAAATAAATAAATAAAACAACAAGGATGCTGAACAAGGGTTTAAAGCGCTCAACGCTGAAATACATTCTGTATTTGTGTATAGGGTAAATTTTAAAATATGGGGCAATCTTTGAACAACTATGGTAGAAGACCTATTGATGATATTATATACCAAAAACCTAAGCTTTTCAGACAAGATGGGTTTTTTTTAGCTTTTACTTTATACATATAAGGAAAACCTATGACAGTGAGGCGGGGCAAATTTTGACCCCAGGGCTATAATTGGAACAATCTTGGTAGAGTTGTACTAAACAATGCTTCATGCCAAATATATAACCTCTAGCCTTCATCTATTATAAAAAGAAGATTTTTTCACTATATATACATACAAGGGAAACCTATGACCCCCGGGGCGAGGCCAATTTGACTTCAGGGATATAATTTGAACAATTTTGGTTGAGTTACAACAGGCAATGAGTCATGCAAAATATCAAACCTCTAGCCTATTAATTCAGAGGAGAAGATTTTTAAGTTTTTACTTTACACATATAAGGAAACCTATGCACCCCGGGGCGAGGCAAATTTTGATCCCAGGGCTATTTGAACAATTTTGGCAGAGGTTCACTTCATAATGCTATATGCCAAATATCTAACCTCTAGCATCTGTTAATTCAGAGGAGAAGATTTTTTAAAGTTTTTTTATATACATAAAAGGAATATCTATGACCCCCGGGGCAGGACCAATTTTAACACTAGGGGTATTTGAAAAACTTTGCTTGAAGCCCAAAAGATGATATCATATACCAAATATCACATTTCTGGGCCTTGTACTTTCAGACAAGAATTTTTTTTAAGTTTGCATTTTTGTTACTCCTTTTCTGGCCCCGTGACCTATTTATGCAACATACCGCAAACCACTTGAACCATTTTAGCAGCAGACAACCCAAGGATTATTCTTGTGAGGTTTGGTTACTGTGCAGTCATTGATTTCAGAGGAGATGTTGTTTAAAGAAATTGTCTACGACACACGACGACGTACTGTTGGGATTCACATTAGCTCACCATGAGCACGTTGTGCTCATGTGAGCTTGTAAAGAATATTTTTTATCTTTCATTTTTTTTATAAGTCATAATAATGAAATATGTTCTGTTTAGTCTTAAAACGATAACAAACAAGTACTTAAATGAGAGTTAAGAAAAAGATCTTACAGCTGCATGCCTTCAGGTGTGACAAATATTTTAAGTAAATCAAACAAAAGCAAACTATTCTTTGATTAAAAGAAATGTTTAAAGGAGTCAAGATTCAAGTACCTTGTAAACATGCTCATGTTTTGTGCAATTAATGATTTATTTTGCATCATTTTTACTTGCGCAGAATTTAAAGGCCATTTTTGACCTCTTTTTAGTAATTTACAAACATGCATGTGGAATATAAGTGCCGTTTGCATTATGTTATTACTAATTTATGCCGTATGCATTTGCGTACGTTTTGGTTCACTTCACAAAATTTTACTTTTTCGATAAAATGTTCATGAAAATTAGTATGAATCGGCAGTTATGCTGCTTTAACGCAAACAAATTAAGTTCTCTGTCTGTCAAGATATTAAAAGTTTTTGAATGTTCTTAGAATACGTCGTTTTAATTACATTGATAAGTTTGTAAATAAATTGGTGAAATTCGTATCTTAGAAATCAACAAATAGGACAACAATGTTCATGTTGCAGGTCATTATTCATTCTACTGTTATTTTACATGTTATCGCCAACACATTAATTTCTTCGTGACAATTGACCTCAAAGATACTGGTAACTAAAATCCACAAACAAATATGATTTCGTCCAAATTGCCTTTCCCTAGATCAGTATGTAGATAACTGTTTGTTTTTCACGTCAATGTTAGTTTAATTTAAGTTACCAGAGGTCGTTAACTATAAATCATGGACAGAACTTAATAAAAATATATTTTGAGTGTCGAATAACTACGATTATCCTACAGTTTAGCAGACAATGTTTAAAAAAGATATTTCTATTTGTTCTCTAATTTCCGCATTGTGATCTACACTATTAAGCTGTCACACAAAAGATGATTGGTTTTACTGATGCGATGTCATCTTTTATCTACTATAGTTGATGCATGGGAACTATTCAATTATCTTCAATTATCTTCAGTTAAGTTCTTAGAAATACATGCATTGCTTCATATTATGCAATCTAACTGAAGGTTGGATCGAAGCATTATTCATGGGCTGATATTGTACTACTACGAAATATAACAATACTTGTAACAATAATTTGCATATTTGTGCTTTTGAATAAAAGAGAGTGAAAGTTTTGCTTACCTCTTAATTTGTTCACGCGTACGTCTACAGTTTTCAATACCTTTTTAGCTGGTGCCCCTGTAAGATGAAATTATGGAATTGTCATTACTATATTACCAAATATGGCAAGAGACATTTTTAAATTATAATCAACATTTAAATGAAAGTTAAGATAGTTTACCATGTATTTGCTTTGTATCGTAGTTCATATAGTTATAAAGACATGAAAGAAGTTAATGTAAAATTGTTAATGAAAGAAGTTTAATCCGTGTATTGACTAGTACTGTTATCAAACAGATTATGTGACACTGAATTAGTAACTACTAGTAAATTAAAATTACCTTTCGAAATAGGTCTTTTATGAGAAACACCTTGAAGGATTTTCTTAATTTCAACAGTTTCTTCTTTGAGTTCTTTGATTTCGTTCTTAAGTTCAATTATGATATCTTCATACCAGTTTCTGAGTGTATCGCCTAGTCTTGGAAGATTGTTGACCTTTACTGCTTGAATTTGTTTTGTTACTTCATTTTCAAACGTTGTTCCACCAACTATCCGTGCTAAAGTTTGTGTCGCAGTTTCAATATCGTTCCAATCTGAATCGAATTCGGCATCATCTGTGATAACGCTTCCCGGCTTGTGCTGCAGTTTGTTGCGTTTTTCACAAATTACTTTAATCAAACTATTTTCACCTTTTTTCATCTGATTCTCAAAAAGTCCAAGCAAGAGAGCTGATAGTATAGTAACGTCCCATTTTGTCTTGTCAGCATTTGGATATATCAAATCATACTGATCTTGCCGTATAGATTTTTTAGAAGACATGAGAGTTTTTACATCGCTGTGTCGGTGTACCATATACTGGTCAAGCGTTGTGAAAGGGACACCTGAACTTGTATCAGACTTCGCTAAGTCAAGGAAATATTTCCTCAAAGGTATTGGGCAAATGTCAGTAATAAGAGTAATTACCCTGTAGTCCTTGTCTTTTGAATCCATGATTTTTTTATTAGGATTGATACTTCAAGTTGTCTTTTCTACAACATGTTTGGTGACTCTAAAAAATAAAAAAAGCTTATTCATATAATAACACTTAAAATGAATACAGTCAAACGACGCTTAAAATCAACATTTATAAGCAAACAATGCTAAAAAAATATAAACAAGCGACGCTTTAAATTGACACAAGGGCCATCAACACTGCAAAACACAATTTTAATTAAGGGCCATAACTCGGCTAAAAATCCTTCAACCGGAAAACCCGTATGCGCAAGCTACCAATTAATCTTGTAAAGTTTCATTGAAAATGCATTTGTGATATTAGAGTAGTCCGTACAAATTTTAAAAATTAAAATCATTAAAGGGACATAATTCTGACAAAAATCATTAAATCAATCAAAGGGCTGCAAGCTCTGAGGTATTTTCTGATCTTTGCAATCTAAATCGTACAGTATATCAGTATGTATTTTCCTGTTTAAGTTTATTTTTATATATCATAATTCATCTTACAGGGCACTGAGATGCAGCGACTGCGTTTAGATTTTTACTAAAACAGTTTGAGTTTGATACATACGGTAGCATGACCAGAGTTGCATCAAAAATCATTTATGTTCATTTTTTATGACAGCCACACTTCATCCTTGCATATCGTGACTACTTCCTTAAGAAGACACTTTAAAAAAATAGTTGCCTCGACTGGGATTTGAACCCCAGACCTCTTACAGCCTAAACGAGCGCGTTATCCCTGCACCACGGGGAATAACTCGAAGCACCATGGGGAATAATATGAAGGAAGCTTGAAAAACTCAAATAATTCTAAATTTAGAATTTCCATGTCGGATATGTAATCCTTATTGATTTAGATGTATTTTGTTCACGATAAACCTATTGTTTAACACTGATGTAAATAATTTAGGGAAAATCTCGCCAAAACAGTCCGAAATGTGTATATTCCACTACTCGACAGTCAGATTTATCTGTGTAGAATTCGGTAATCAACTTCGCTGAAAATAGCATTTTCATTGATTAAATTGATATTCATCCGCGTATTTTGTGGTTGTGCATTTATTGCCAATTCTAAAAGCCAACGCTACTTTTAAACTTTGAATGCGTTGTAATTTGTTGGATACTTGTAACAAAATAATAATATTTCTTTCTTTTTAAATTACTAGTTTCAAGCTGATTTGAGGACAACTTGTTGTTAGAGTTGTCGTGAAATTCTGTGCCAGAGATTGAATGTCAGCATATTATATTTTGCTGTGCATCTCATCAACATTTTTGTATTTTCTGATCGCAGAACAAAATATCGTATTGATCATTTCTATAAAGTTTTGATGAATAGTCCAAACAAGTGGCTGGTGACTCAAATAAAAACACCTTTTTTATTGAAGGGCCATAACTCGGCCATAAATAATTCAAGCGGGAAACCTATGATATATGTGCATGTACGTGAGCTACCAATAATCCCTAATAACGTTTCAATGAAATTGCAGGAGTATTCCGGAGAAACTTTGAAAATAACAAGAAATGTCCAACGACACATATGCCCCCTCACATTATTGTTAATTTTGTTATAGAAACGTGCCATAAATGGGTACGTTTTAGAAAAAAATAAAAAAATAATGAAGACTTTATGATGAATAGATTTCAAGATAATGAGCGGAAACCATTAAAGGTCCCTGTTACGTTGACCTTTGCTAGGTGACACCAAAATAAAAATAAAGGTCATCTACTGGTTATGACCAATCAGTATGTGAAATATGAAGACTTTGTGATAGTTTTCGAGATAATCAGCGGAAACCATGTGGTTTACTGAAGGACACACCGAGAGACTGATAGACAGACCGAGCGACCGACATTAATAGCAAAACAATATCCCTCTTCTGTGAAGAGGGCATAAAAATAATTAAAGGGCCAAAACTCTGACAAAAATTATAAAACCAAAAAGGGAACGATATGCACAACTACACTTGGTACTGATCATTCCTGTAAAGTTTGGATACAATTGCACCAGTGTTTTCTAAGAAATAGTCCAAATATGCCTGAAATAATGCACATGTGAAGCTTGAAAGTCTCCATATGCCCTTTATTGTGTTGGTGTGATGTGAAACACAACCAAAACAAACATTTGGCTGTAGCATTTTGCCTGGTGAACTTCTGTGAAATGGATTATTTATTTAATTTATTTTTTTCTCTTATATAAGGAAGTGACTTGTATTCTAAAGATATTTTACTTATAAACTATAATACCCAAAACTTGTAAAACTAACAGGACTAATAACCCTAAAAGAGGCCAGCAGTACAGAGCCTTGTCACATCCACACAGAGTGACAATTTGCTCACTTAGGTAACTCATTTGTACAAATGCATTAAATGTCTAATACCAATCTCTCAGACTTTTGAATGAACTGTTCCAAGTTCACAGCTCAGCAAAACCATTTCATAACTTTACCAGGTAAAGGGTGACATCGACTAAAATAGGTTGAATATATTTTGGTTTCTTAACTAAATGTACATGTATATGGAAAGCTACTAGAGATGTGTTTTTGGAAGATTTTATCTATTCATGCCATGAAGGTCTAAAAGCGGCTTCCTCGTGTTCAAATAATTATTCTTACACTATCGGATTTTTTTTCTAAATAAACAAAGAAGGCCCGAAGCGTGCATTATTCTTCAACAATGCACTCGCCGTTATTACTACCTCCCTGTGTATTTTCACATTGAGGGCACCATTTTGTTTAACAAGAGCTGTCAGTAGGACAGCATGCTCGACTATTCTAAGTGCTTGATAGTAAAAGAGCCTTAATAATGTAAAATTTTCTAAGTTCACAAAAGGGCTAATTTTTTTTATAAATTCATGTTATAGGCCTTAGAGAGAGTCTAATTGTACAGTATTGCCTTGACTATTTGGAAGGTAATGTCACAAGGGTGTTTTATTGAGTATAATAATACTAATTACCTATGAATACATAAAATTGACAGAAAAGGTACAAAGGCTTGTTATTAAGATGTTTTATCAAGTAAATCACTGCTTTATTATTATGAATGCATAAAATTGTCCCAAAAAAGGCACAAACCCTTCAGTAGTTATGGAGATAACAGCTTACAAGCAAAACTTTACCACGAATTTCTAAGTTGAAAAAGGGAAGAAAAATCAGCCTAAATGCAAGATAGAATTATGGATCTTTGTCAGTGACCTACAATTCTGACCCTAAATGCATATGTGAAGTTTTAAATAAATATCTTTAATAGTTATTGAGATATGTAAAACTTGCATGTAAACATTAACCAGGAGACTAAGTAGAAAAGGGGATATGAATCAGCCTTAATGCAAGATATAGTTATGGAACTTGGTCAGTGACATACAATTATGACCCACAAATTATGACCCTAAGTACATGTGTAAAGGTTCAAGTAAATATGTTTGAAGACCTTTAACCTTTAACCAAAAATTGCTAAGATTCAAAGGGGCAAATAATTCTGCAAATATTGCAGACAGAGTTATGCAATTTTTCAAAATGATGTACATTGTTACTATAAAAAAGAATTGTAAATTTCAATTGAATTTCTCTAGCAATAATTACGATATTTGACCTTAGAAAAAAACTTTAACCAAAATTTCTAAGTTTCAAAGGGGCATAATTCTGTCAATATAGTAGGCAGAGTTATCCAACTTGTCAATCTGATGTACCTTGTTACTATAAATAAGTACTGTAAGTTTCAATTGAATATCTCAAGCAATAATTGAGATATTTGACTTTACAAAAAACTTTAACCAAAATTTCTAAGTTAAAAAGGGGCATAATTCTGTCAATATTGTAGGTAGAGTTATCCAACTTGTCAATCTGATGTACCTTGTTACTATAAATAAGTATTGTAAGTTTCAATTGAATATCTCAAGCAATAATTGAGATATTTGACTTTACAAAAAACTTTAACCAACGCAGACGCCGACGCGGACGCTGACGCCGACGCCGACGCCGGGGCGACTACAATAGCTCTCATATTCTTCGAATAGTCGAGCTAAAAAATCTGATAAATAAAAACATTTTTTGTCGAATTTTGTTGTGAAAGCTATCTAGAATGAAAGAAAATGGTCTAACTAAGAAAATGAATCCGAACACCAATATCTTTAATTCAGTCGTTAACGCTGTACAGACGTTTTAAGTGTTGTTTACGTGACGTCACAATGTAGCGCCTAACAGCACGTGTCAAACAATCAAATCAAGTACGCTATTTAAATGTCGCAAACGAGTTAAGTTTTGCATTTATTTCACTTTTAATAATTTGTATTTCGCTTGAAAAATTATAAAGTGAAAAAAAATAAACAAACAAAGTTTTTCCAACGTTTTCAAAATTCGTTATTCTCAAAATGTTTCTCCTCACGGTAGATTTATCGACAGTTGTTTTTCAACCCACTGGAACAGCCTTTTAAGAACGTTTCTATGGGAAACCCTCAGGCGAAAACAAATTTAACCACCAAACATAAAGTCCAACTTTATAATAATAATTCTAATTTTTCTTGACGTGTTAGAATGGAAATAGATATTAATTCTTCGTGCATTATTGTATAATAATGCACGTTTTTCGTTCAAATGCTTTGTAATTAATCACTCAGGCCTATCGGCCTTCGTGATTATATTACTACGCATTTGAACTCAAACCGTGCATTATTCTACAACAATGCACTCAGAATTGATATCTATTTCCTAAATAATTAAAGAGTGAGAACAATAAAAATTCTATAATTTAACAAAGCCCATTTTATAACTACCATCTCAATAGGTACTAAGGAATTGCTACCCTGTTGCTACCCCGTTGTTTCCTTGAGTAAGACATTTTTCACGCATCGCCTCGTACTCACTTCAACAAAGATTAATTATATTACGAAGCTTATAGTGGACGCATTCGAGACTGTGTCTTTATTTTCTACGCAATCAATCGAAAATATATTCTGTATAAAATGAATTAAAGTTTCCCTACAAAAATATATTTGAAAAGTGCTGATACTCTAAGAGTCGACAAATAGCCATAATCTTGCGCCACTCGTGAAATATACCTTTTGGTGCTCACTCGATGAAATATATTCCGATGTTATACTGACCTCTACTAGTAGAGTATATGCATCCATTGCTACTTTTCGTTAATTTTCCGATAAAAACCCTATTATAGAAAACGAAAAGAAAAACATTGTTTACCTGTGGACAAACTTCTATTACGCGTTGAGATAGTCAGCTACTCCTCTATCAATAAAACCAAAGGCACTTGGTTTCGGGATAAAAATCCTTTTGAAGCTTTTTGAAGGGTTTGTAGAACTAAAATTTGATTGAATGTTACGATTTTTTAACGTAGATGTCTCGATTCTAAATTCGTCAATTTTCCGATATTACTAAAAAAACACAGTAATATCGGAAAAATGAAGGTTTTAGAAAAGAGACATCTACATTAAAAACAAGAACTGTCGGAGGATAGTAACGCTCGACTATTCAAAAAGTTGTCACAAAATTGTTTCATTGAGTATAATAATGCTTACCTATATGAATACATAAAATTGTCCGAAAAGGTACAAACCCTTC